CTGGCGTTAGTTAACATGGCAAATCATATGGGTGGGGCATTGTGATGTTACATGGGGGGGCGGCAAACTTTACTTTTGCCTAGGGCGGCAAAAATCCTTGCACCGGCCCTGGCTGGAGGGGGCTGTGTGAGCTGTGGCAGCACAGTGTCCCATGGTAGTTAGGGTGCCGTGCGGCCAGTACAGCTCACACAAGCAAACAGCTGATAAACTGGCACGGAGGAAATGTGTATGTGTGACTGTCTGCCTGTGACTGTGTGTGACTGTCTGCCTGTAACAGTGTGTGACTGTCTGTAACTGAGTGTGTGACTGTCTGCCTGTAAATGTGTGTGTGTGGGGTTGCAGGGATTTTGTAGAAGGGGCGGGGGTTTTGTATTGGGACAGGAGTCTTTATAAGGGGGATAAGCAGGGGATTTGTGGAAGGGGGTTGCGGGGGTTTTGTAGACGGGGCAGTACAGGATTTGTAGAAGGGGCAGGACAGAGGTTTTGTAGGAGGGGCGGGGCAGGACAAAGGTTTTGTAGGAGGGGCTGACAGCGATTTTGCAAAGTTTACAAAAAAAAAAAAAAAAGAAAACCTTTAACATTTTTACAGGTTTTTTTTTTTTGGAATTGGGGGGTGCCAAGCACAGGATCCGCCCCGGGTGCCAAATGCTCTAGGTACGCCCCTGGTCATCAGTATACTGAGCCTGTGCATGTGTCTCAATGAGCCATGCGGTCTGCCCATATAAGGTGATCCTGAATAACCTGTTCACTGATTGGTCTAAGGGTATGTGTGGGAGGAGCTATTTGTGGGATGTACAGTTAGCAAAAAGCCTTTGCACCATGCTTTCAATGCTCAGACATTTTGGAACAGGAGTTCCTCAGAGATCCGATCGGTGATAATAAAGACCTGTTACTTCCTGAATAGACTTGCTTCCATTTCTCTGTGTGTGGCTTCTGCAGCTTTCTCCTGCAACACTAATACCCCCATACAACTCATTAAACAAGGTGGTTTAATGCCTGGCTCCCCCTGCTCCCATCAGGCGACAGCTCACACATGGCCGGCCAGCATTACAGGAGCCTGAGCCATGATTAGGGGTGTCAGCCCAGCCCCCCACTCTGTGAAGGGTGTGTGTGATGTGCACTGCATGTGTATGGAGAGGTGTACTCTGTGTGGGTGGGAGTGTACTGTATGTGGGGGATTCACTGTCTGTGAGGGTGTTCTGTGTGGAGGGGAGTGCAGACAGTGGGCTAGAGAAAGGCTTTACAATTTCTACTTTAATAACAGTTAAAAACATATCTGAATATACGCTGAACAAAATTATAAATGCAACATTTTTCATGAGCTGAACTCAAAGATCTAAGACTTTTTCTATGTACACAAAAAGGCCTATTTCTCTTAAAGGGACTCAAACCATTTTCCTGGTACTGCAGGTCCCCTCTCCCTCCCACCCCCCATCCCAGGTTGCTGAAGGAGTTATAACCCCTTCAGTGACTTACCTGTATCCAGCTCTGATGTCCCTCGGCGCTGGGTCAGGCTCCGCCTATGCTCCTCCTCCGCCATCAGCCGGCGGGGGAGACCTATCGAGCATGCACGGCAGGCGGCGGGGGGAGACCTAATGTGCATGTGCAGCAATGTCGTTTAACACACTTTTCATGTTCTATGAACACGGAAGTGTCCTCTAGTGGCTGTCTACTAGACGAGGACTTAACCCTTCAAGGTAAATATTGCAGTTTATGAAAACTGCAATAATTACACTTGCAGGGTTAAGGGTAGTGGAAGTTGGCACCCAGACCACTCCAATGGGCAGAAGTGGTCTGGGTGCCTGGAGGGTCCCTTTAAATATTGTTCACAAATCTGTGTTAGTGAGAATTTCTCCTTTGCGGAGATAATCCTGTAACCGTGGTGGTTCCCTTATTTACCACTATAATGTCTTAAAGCATAGAACTTAGTAGGGCTAACCATACAGATATCTTAGCCATAATTTTATATAGTTAGTAAGAGATCCTCTATTTAACATAAATAATTGAGAATACAATATAAAATAAGGATTGTCTTGGAAGCAAGATTGTCTTTTGGATATTTATTATATAAAAATATAAATATAAAATCCATTATAGCAGAGTTTATAAGATTAAATTACATGCTTGCAAATATCATTAATAGGTTAACATACCCTTCTGAACATGTCATCATGTCAGCCTCTCTGTCATTTTAAGATGGAGCAGCGTCTGTCTCCAAGTCTCTCCTCTGTGTCTTAACATTTAAAAGTACACCTATTTATACCTTAGGTGTCTCCATTTTAGGTTACTGTAGTTCAAATATGAAAAAGTAACACTTCTTTTACTTTATTCAATTTAGGACCTCCCTTAATTTGGCAAACATACAAGGCCATAACTAAAGGGTGTATACGTCATGGAAATTTTCCTGACTTAGTTCAAGATGGCATCTTAAAGTCTGAATAGGTTATCTGTTGTTTATACTAAGTCGTAAGTGTACAGTCGTGGGAGATTCCCGGATTTGGGGAAGTTCCATTAACTTGGGGTTACCACAGTATATTGTGTACTGCAAGAGTCGTAGTATAGCCTTGAAGCTTGTTTATGCATTATTGTTATTGTAATTCGTCTGGGACAAAATGGCGCAAACATATTATGCACTGAGGTTATTGCTTAAAGAAACAGTTATGAAAAACAATATGTTCCATTTCTAACACCTTGTCAGTTTGCAATATCTCTTAAAGACAAAGTACAGTTTAAGAAATACAACATTTCATTCTAAAACTTGTAATATTTACATTTGCCCATAACACCCTCTCCATTAAACTGTGGGCATTGTGGCGCATTTCTTCCTTAAATTAGTGAACCAAAGTTCTCCAACTGTCTTTAGGTTTTTGTGCTCCCAGCACCATGGATCATTGTTGTAACAGTATAATATCCGTAGTGTGATCTTTGCCTGTAAAGGTGGTTGATTAAAATGAGCAAAGCTTTTGTCAGGAAAGAATTGAAAAGAACAACAGGTTCCAGAGTAAGATATTCTTGGATGGATCCGGATACGAATTGTAATCCAAAGTTAAAAGTAGTAATTGTATTTGTAATCCAAAGTCTTTAAAGGCCTGTAGAAGTTTACATTCCTTAGATACATTGTTGGAGGTTGTGTTTGTAGAATACCCGGGTATTAGTTGTTTAGTATAGGTTGTAGAGTACAGCTTTCCAAATATTTGGCTAGAATTGGTTGCAGATATTAAATCAGCATCATGTGTTATCACCGTGGTGATGGCGTTGGTATTTGTCTTTGTCTTTTTTATTTTGTTTTTTCCATGAAACATTTTTACACCGTTTATGATGTGTATAGATTGGATACTCTCCGATATTCTTTTACGGAATCAATTGACAGCATTTCCAAGACATTGTCTTAAGTGACATGGATCCCATTATAGTAAATGTTATGTTGATACAGCAATTGAAGTGGATTCTCAAGAACACCTCTTTTTGCTGTATTTGAATCTTTGTAACATCTCAGCGATAGACATCTCACTGACATCAGGTGCTGTTGTGCTAAAAATGTTAACAGGTAAAATCTGTGGAAAAATCTTTACATTTGTTATAGCTTGTATAATAATGATAGATGAAATAGTAACATAGTTAATCTTTCTAGTGTTTTGTTTTAAAGATAAACACTCTTGTATATGATTTGTATATGATAGAATAATTTGAAGCAGCAAAGTATTTACCGCCTTTGTTCACAATGGTATGTAAAATTACATTCTCTTTAAATGTTAAAAATACTCTTTTATTCAAACTCTCCCAATATATTTAGAATAGTTGCTAATTGGAAATATGAAGTTAATTATCTTTCTTTGACCTGTTAGGGAGAAGACAACTTATTCCCTAGTTATTATTAGTAAATAAAATAACTACAGTTATTAGTGGCTTAAAATACCAGAAACCCCCAAAATTTGTCTTAGAAATTTTTTTTTACCAAGATCTGACAGCCATTGTGGAAAGTTACGTTCGTGAGATTGGATGCTTAACACTGTGAATCTTAATTGTTTAAGTATATTTACAAGAGGCTGTTGGGTGTAGCTTAAGATGATTTGGATTTTTTTTATTATTTCTAAAAGTGAGTTAAAAAAGCACTCCGATACAATATTGAAGGTGTAGCGGAGAGGTAGTATAATCCACGATATCTCCGCTGGGTAACAGGAACAACAAAGGATAATCCAGGGGAATCAGCATACAATAATCCAAACAGCACTGCAGTAACCCTTCCTTCCCAAGAACTAGACGACACATAGGCTGGGAGTCAACCGAGGTCTTTTAATTCAGCTCCACAATTTATACAAGTCCCCATGCAAGGGGTTTCCTGAGTCCCCTCCCAGGGGCATTCCCAGAGGGGACTACATGGGGGATTTATTGTACAGGACATTTCTCCCATCAGGCACTGCTGCACGAGAGGGATCCTCCCACAGGAATGTACCGTTAAGTGGATTATCCCTCCGTGCAGCAGAATTTACAATTCGTATTAAATTGCATAACTTTATGAATATCTGGTCCATTTAAACGAATGGACGTTCCGTAGATAGCTGGGGTCTGAGCGCATCATTCGTGAGATTACCGCTCAGATCCCAGCTAAAACAACCGAACGCCGCACGAAAAACACATTCATTAAAACATAGTTTCAAAACACCGATTGCGTATAAGGGAATAGAATACCGAATGTCCCGGACCTCCCGAACGGCCTGGAAGCTCAGCGGTGTTCGTGCCGTCGAGTAGCCGTTTTTAGTACCATGCGCTCGACGACCAAACACCGCTGAGGGAACAAAGGATCCAAGATGGCCGACCGCCGCATGGTCGGTAGTCGAACAACGGCCACCTTGGAGAGCCTCTAATTACCGATTGCAACATTGTTGCAATCGGTTAATAGGCGCCACACGCCTCTAAGTGTGTGGGCTATTAACTGATGGTTTGTTCGGTTCCCGAACGGCCCGCAAAGGTGCCGTTCGTGAAACGAAAGGGAATCAGATATCTGCTTTCGGCAGATAGCCCAGGCAGGAAATACAGCATTACCATTACAGTACATTACATTATACGCTGGAACACATAACATGAAAACCATACTGGCAACCCTTAAAGAGACAGTATATAAATAATGTCCAAGTGGCTAGGTTTGCCACAGAAGGTATTTATATTTTAACACTACCTTTGTATAGGTGGTTTTATGTACTTTTAACCGTCTCAAACCAAATAACATTTTCTTGGTATTTGAAAAACTGATAAAATATTTGATTACGTGTATTTTAATATATATACATAGAGTGGTATGGATGTTGAATTTATATCTTTGACATCTTTTCACCAATTTGCAATAGGTGACCTAAATTATTAATTTCCAAAATCATGTATATCACCTGGATGGGTTAATCCATAATACTCTCTTACTTTCCATTGACTGGCCTTAGCTCTGGCAGACTGAATATTTTTATCATTATAATAAACTTTATGATAGTTGAAGTAAAGTTTCTGCCTGTCTTTCAGTTAAATTTTAACTGTTGAAGTATTTCACTTATACTAATTAATTATACCACTCTGCAAACTTAAACGAATATTGAGTAGTTTCTGATTTAATAAAAACATTTTACATTTTCTTCTAAAGTTTAAACATTATTCATTATTGCAGTTGTTATTGCAATCATATGATCTTTAACTATCATGATTCAATTATTCATCTGGGTAATTAGCTGTTATGCTCTTATACTTTATGTCTAATATATTTGTTTGTAGGCCAGACTGCAGCTGCATATGGCATTTTAGCAATAATCTTCAATTGCGTTTCAGATATTCACAAAGTCTATCCACCTTTGTAATTAACACATTATGTGTTTATTTTATACCATTAATTATAGTATCTGTATTATATTACACATTGCCACTGACACATTTCTGACACAGGGAAAAAAATAGCATGATTGCTTTAGTAATTATAATTTTCGGTCCATGCACCACATTGCTGGAAGTCCAGAATATAGCAATAATCCTTTGTCGTTTGATTCTAGGGAGCCATTTAACGTTTTGATTGGTATAGTTATACCAAAAGAGCAAGGAGTACATTGGTAGATCACATCTGCAACAGAACCATTACAGATTCCTTGTTGTATCAATGTCTCTGTGTTTATGTTTACAGGAGTTCCTTGCTTTGCAGGTATGTAAATAATATGTAGAGTTTAAGAAAAGCTGCAAATCGTGCTTTAGTACAAGTGTCCCATGATGTCAGGTTTCTGAAAGATTTTGCCGGCCTTTTATATTCCATTCTCTTGGCAGGGCATCTGCTCTTAGTAAGCCGGTCTTGTTATTATTTATTAATTGCATCAAGGTTTCTTTCGTTAATTGATGTTTCTTCCGAATTCATATGCCACCAAATGTCATTGTAAAGTTCATTGTTACAGAATATTGTTCCAGGGTGGTTTTTCACTCCAGTAGGAAATCTATTTTCCTCTTCTTCTGATCCTTCCTATTAACCACTTTTTCTGAGTTGTAGTTAACAATCTGTGTCTTGTACTGTGAGGTGCTTTGATAGTCAATCTGGTTTTGTCAGTACCATGTTCCATCTTGAAAAACAGCTGGGTGTTGACAGTTATCAGCCTTTATTTCTTTTTCCGGTCATCTTCTGTCTGGATAATAGCAATGTCCAGAATTAGCATAGCACTTCTTTTCAGCATAAGAAGGCTGTTTGCGGTAGTCATTCAATGATAAACTATATGGCAAAGTCTTTTCTTGCATCACCTTCATAGGTGCATCCAAAGTCTTTCATAAGCATCTTTCCTGTCTTTTTCTGTTTTCAGCATGCTTTGCCATCATCGTTGATTCCATTATTAGGATTTGTAATTGTCCAATCACATCTTTCTCATGTATAATCGTTTTTTTGGAATGATCTCAATAGGTTCCTTGTGAAATACCAGTGTAGGCAATCATTTCACTGTGAGCTGTGTCTCTCCTTATGAGATAGTTCTTGGAGGTAGTCCTCACGATCAAAAGAACTTGTATAGTGTGCAGTCCAATTCAGTTCAGGTGCTTCCTGCTTGTTAACATAATCCCAATGCAGTTTTAAAACGACAGCTAGGGTTGATGTTATGATAGATAATGCTGCAGATTGTAAGAAGGAGACACCATAACCAATTTTCTAGCATCCTTTTGCTTCCATCTTTGCATTTCTTTCTTCCTGTATAAGATAATTCAGGTTCAGTCTGTTTTCTCCAGAGTCTTTCTTATAAAGATGTTGATGATTCATTTTTCATACATTCCATGTTAACTGTGAATGTATCACGTCTGTCTGTTCATCCTTCTCCTTCACATTTGCAGGTTCAGATGTCAGATCATGATTCAGTCTGTTACGTGGCTATGATTCTGGTGGCTTTTCTGTCGTCCTCTGTTTGTTTTATCTTGCCATCTTTAACAGCATCCATTGTGTCAGTCAGTGGTTCTGTGAATGTCCTGTTAATATTTAGCAGGTTGTAAAATATCAAAACTTACTGTTCTCTGTTGGCTCTGATTGTTCTCTGTAGTAAAAGTTATCTGAGTCACCCTCTCCAGGACAAGCTGGCCAACAGAAGGAAATAGGTGGTGGTGCAAGGCGAGGTGGGCTGGAAAAAAAAATTCCCTAAATTTCTCTAATAGAACCAATGGTTCTAAGCTCTCCCTGGTGCAGAAATATAATTGTCAGTGAAAAAACATGTAACATTTCATATGGTGTCTCACCATTTGTATCATCAGGTATGTTGTGAATGCTCATCTGTACCTTAGGAATAAATAGATACCACTGTGTGGGGCAAGCAACTAGTAACTTGGTTAATAATCATTTAACCTCAGCATTCTCCCAGACCACAACCCCACTTCTTTGGGGGTGGTTGGGGCACTGAAATCCCAAAGTAACCCAAATGTGGTTGCCCAGTTTTAGGTTTCCTTTGCAGTAACTGCAGGACCACCATCCAAATGGATGGTCCTGGGATTATCAAATGCATATGCATACCAAGGAAGTGAGACTAGAAAACGTGGTATCAGAGGTTGCACTTCGCACAGGATATATCCAAGTAAACCTGGTACATGCATTAACACATACAAAAACATATTTATAACCATGAGATGTTGGCAAACTTCCAATATATAGTAATTCAAAAAGTACGTTAGGTATTATTTCAATAAACAGTACATCAGTAATGTGGCAATAAGCAAATGCTTATGATTACTAAACACATGAATTACAGTATTTCCCATATTGGACCACCAATATTTCTTTTCAGGAATCACAAGTACATTACCTCTCTCTATAAGAGCTTGTCCTAGCCATAAAAAAGCTTTTAGGGCAAGTCTATCTTTCCTCTATAGGAAGAACAACCAACATATTACCTTCAATGGTTATTATGTAATTAACCCCTCTAAACGACAGGAGTATTTATGCGGATACCAGGTGGATAAGGTCTGGATAAACTCTGCATCATGACTGAGAGATAGGTTATGCGATGTGATCCAGTGACCACAGAAAAGCGTTGGCAGACACATTGCATTAAAGTGCCTGTTAATGACCAACTACATGAGGAGTTGCTTGAAGAAGCCTGTTAAGGCGAAACGTGTTTAGATACTAATAGATTTTGTTCTTAATTTTATAATAAAGATATTTTTATTGGCATAAAATACTTTATTGCCATTTGCTTTCTCCTTTACCTGATTTTACATACATTTTCTTTTATTGATTTTATGTATACGGCTTACCCTGCAGGAAGTGCAAAGAATCCATAGGTGGGGATTATACCACCCGAGCGCCTTCACTGAGCAGTTTTGAGTCTGCTCTACTTTACGTGAGTAGTATACTTTACTTTCTTTTAATTTTATTACATACAGTGAGCACTATATATTTTAGTTCATTTTTTCTCTGGGTCGTATTACGTCAAATTGAACGCTGAACCCATGTCAGATATTCAGCTATCAAAATTTACTCCATATATCCTTGAAGTGGGGATTATTCCACTTTACGCGAGCAATATCAGAGCTGATCCTAGCTCTGAAAAGTGTGAGTAAGACTGATTTTATACTTTTATATTTATTTTATACACCGATTTACTGTGCCATTGGAGTCCTGTTTTTATTTTTCTCTCCACATATGCTGAATTCTCAACATTTGAAGATACGATCCCATCTACACCCTAAAGAATATTCCTTTACAAGTGGGACCTACCCTCATGGACTGTGATAAGCCTATTTTATTGGACTATTGTTTTATTACTTATTTTATTCTGTATTTTATCTAACGAATTTAGTCTTTTATTTTATCAAGT